GAAAGAGTTTTTAATGAGGATTTTTAGAAGATTTGGGGGCAGAAGAAGATACTTTCTTCTCTGAGGTTCAATTTCATTATCTATAAGATAAGAAGAGTACTCCTTCTTCTGATAGGGTGACTTCTGAAGGTTAATAGCATCATACATATTGAAGTATTGAGCACTAGTCTTCATGCTTCACAAGAGCGAGGAAACAATATTTGTGGACAATAGCTTTTAGGAAAGGTGAGACTGACAAAAACACTTGAATTTTTGCAACTTAAAATGTTTCAAAGAACTTGGGAACCAGCAGTTAGCGTAATGGCTATGTCGCTGGACTCTCACGTAGTCGACCGCGGTTCGCGTCCTGGACCCGGTGGCTTAAAACTCACGCCGGGCGCGTGTGCATGCGTGCCCAAGATCCCAAGAGGAGAATGGAGGAGAAGGGATTGCGGCGTGACCATCCCTCCTGGGGGGTGATTTCTCACTTTCTGTCTCTATGTCTCTCTCTGTCTGTCTGGTGAGCGCACGTGCCCTACAGTGAAAATATCTCAAAAAAAAAAAAAGTTTCAAAGAACTTAACAGAAAGATAGATATTTGAATGAGATGATTATCTGATGTGTGCTAGTTCTATCAGGATCATATTTTTTAGAAATTTTGGATGCCCCAATGTCCTCAGTGAAGAATGGCAGGTGCACAGGAGAAGATGATCAGTAACCGAATCAGCAGACAGATGCCTTTATTGTCACTGGCCATGGATTTAAACAGATTGGCTGGAAATGACCTCTTGCTGTGGATAACAATAAAAGATCGTTAAAAATATTTCATTAAATAAATCCGATGATATAAACAACAAAATCCTACCCGAATCAGTGTGAATTGACTCACTTACCAGATTTCTTTTTGCTACCATCTATTAGATAGAACCATAGGAAACCACCAGTATCGACCACTATTTATTCAGAGTCTTAATTTCAGAGAGTTCAATCTAATAGTTCAGTCTAATATCTCAATTTTTCTTGCTAAATTATTTTAAAAGAATTATTTATTTAATTTTATTTATTATTATTATTATTATTTAACTCGCCAGAGAGAGAGAAAGTGAGAAAGCAAGCCAACTGATACAGCATTTGCACTGTGGTCGCCATGTGGGAGTCCAACACTTTAACCACCACACCACTTGCTGACCACACTAAATTAATTTTCAGATATTGAATGGTGATTACTCATAGCTCTTTAAGAGAATCTTATTCTAATAGCGAGCCTGCCTGCTGTCTCTTTCTTATTGAAGAATGAACTTCTATAACTGTTGATGATCATATGGGACATGTCAAGGGAAGGTAGGCAAACACGTGAAATGGTGTGATATCAAAATTAAGGAAAAAAACTATTTCCCTTATATTTTTTAGGGACTCTACAACAAAGCTTCTGAATACTTTCAGCAAGCTTTTGACACAACAGTAAAGCTAATGAACATGCCTTTACTGGATGAAACCAAAGTTCATTATGGGATAGCAAGAGCTCATCAGATGATGCTGACCGTGAGTAATTACATAGAGTGTGCCGATCTCACCAGCCTCGACTGCCTGCTGTCCTGGAAAGAGAGCAGAAGTGACATTGAACCTGACCCGGTTACTGGTAAGCCCTTGGCGTTTGAAAACACTTCATTTTCTTATCACTCTCAGTGGTTATATTTCACTGAGAAGGTTTATTCAACCATTGATGATTTCCATTTTAAAGACTTTATTGATTCATTACTACACGAAGGTTGGGTACACTTTTGTATTATCCGGTAGGTTCAATGTGTAAGAAATAAGATAGTTGGTAATGATTTGTTCTACTTGATGAATCATTGTTCTCATGCTGGTTTTTTTTTTTCTTTTTTTCTGGTTATCTTAAATAGTCGATAATATATATTGGTCAGGTGTAAGGAATGCGAAATAAGCTAACGCTGACAAGAGCAAGTGCTGATAGATTCTAAATTGTGTTATGTATTTATTTACTTTACAGATGAGAGTTAATTTTCCTGTTTTTTTTGATCAGTTTGAATTGGGATATTCAGAAAATATTTAGTAGTAATTTTTAAAAACACTTTCTACATTATTTATTTATTTTAGTTGTATTTGTTGTTATTACTATTTTATTTTTAATTTGACCAGAGAGAGACAGGGATAGAAAGGGAAAGTGCGAAAGCAAGCTACCAGGTCCGGGACTTGAACCACAGTCAACCCTGTGTGAGTTCAATACCTTAACGACTATGCCACCTGTTGGCTCCAATAGTAATTTAATTCTACTCTTTTTGGTGCATACTATTTCTCGTGAAGAGTTAGAGAGAAAATAGCCAATTAAAAACAAACAACTACAAGGGGGATAAAGGTAAGTTTTATGTGTCAACTTTGTGAGGCTGTAGTCCCCAGTTAAGAACTTTAGAATAGGATATTTAAAAAGCAAAACAGGGTGCCAGTAGGTGGCTATGCATGTGTGCTCAAAATCTCAAGAAGAGAATGGAGGAGAAGGGATTGTGATGGGTCCATTCCCTCAGGGGGCAATTTCTCACTTTCCTTCTCTCTGTCTCTCTAAAGTGAGCCCATGAACTCAATGGCAAAAATCTAAGGGGAAAAAAAAAAAAAAAGAACCAGCTGGTAGAGGGGTGGTTAAGACAGCTGGATCCCACGTGGCCTATTGTGTGGTTTAGGACCCGACAGCTCAGAAAACACCAGGCACGTCTGCGTGCATGCCCAGAATCCCAAGATAAGAATGATGATGAGATTGGAGCATCACCATCCTCCACAGGGGATGCTTTTAGGGGATGCTTTCTTACTTTCTATCTCTCTCTCCCTCTTTCCGTCTTTCTCTCTTCTGTGAACACACACACCTGGTAGCAAATTAAAAACAAAACAAAATGAAATAGTGTCTATGACCAACCTTTGGATTATATAATTATTTGTTTGCAAATCGAACATTTTTAAAGTAAAATATTTCAGTATTTGTGGATAACCTAAATGGAATCATAAGGTCAAACTTTTATAATGTGAAAAATCATCTATTTGATTTTAACTCTTTTTATTTTCCCCTTTTATTTTAATGTTTGTTTCTTCCATAGAATAACTGGTAAATAATAGTAGATTAAGCACAAAGGAATTTTATTGATACTTTTAGGGTGGTAGAATATCCGTTAGCACTTTCTGTCCTCTAGTTATAAAATAAGGAAAGATCTCGTCCCAAATACATGCACAGTAAGAGAAAACAAGATGAGCTATTCAGAAACAGCTTGTTAGATTTCACTGTGCCCAAGTGCACCAGAGAAAAGTTTATAGTCAGGCCAGCAGGTGGCCTGCAGGTTAAGGTGCTCGATCTCACATGTCTGAGTCTACAGTTGGAAGCCTGGACCTGGAAGCTTGAAAATCATGACAGGCGCATGTACATGTGTGCCCAGAATCCCAAGAAAAGGATGGAAGAGTAGGGATTGTGGTGTGGCCATCCTCCTGTGAAGCTTTCTCACTTTCCACTCTCAGTTTCTTTCTGGTGAGCACATGTACCCTATAGCAAAAATAATAATAGTAATGATAATAATAATAATAAAAAATAATTTGTGTAGCTTACTATAAACTCTTACTAAGCACTTTTAGATTATAAGCATTTTGCTTACTTCAGGACGCAGTCTTGCCAGTGTCTGTTTGGAAGTTTGTTCTGTAGTTTCAAATTATCTACCCTTCAGGCTCTCACCTTTTCTCCCCAGAATGGTAAGAAATAAAGCAGAGCAAATATGATTCATATTAAATCACTTGATCTGATAAAAGTTTGACAAAGAATAAACTAAGCAACTCACATATTCAGATTTATCTTGTGTAAACTTTACCCATCACCCAGGTTGTTAGGAAAAGCTATCTTCTGACCAGACCTAGTTCTATTTGTTGCAGTCCTGCTTTGGGGTTTTTGAAAATTTCTTTTGAGTTTTTTTACTCTATAAAACTATATATATATAGTGTATATATATATGTGTGTGTGTGTGTGTATATATACACATAATATATATATATATTATATTTATATAACAAATAGGTATATATGTATATATACACATATATATTTTTATTTTATTTCTCTATATTTTTAAGATCATGTTTTGTTCTGAAGAAAAAATATGCATTTCAAAATGTTACTCAGTCATTAAAAACTCAATCATATGGGGGGGACAGGTTAAATTCTTCAGAATGTTATAGAAATGCACGCCTTACTGTTCATTTCACTCAGATTAGAAATCTGTGCTTGGCTGAACTATGGCATTGTAAAATTGAAAAATAATCATCTTTCAGATTCGAGTACAAATAAACTAATTCTCATACTACTGGCGTGCTTAACATTTTTAGGGATCGTCATTCTACTTGGCAGTAAAGCCAGCAGGACATGATCGAATACTCTTGCTTGTTTACGTAGCTAGAGTTTTAGTTCACACAACACACTAAAATCTGCTTTCAAGCACATCAGCAATATTTTTTAAACCATACTTCATATTTTATTTTTGTTCTGCAGAAAAATCTTCATTGGCCCTTGACTGCATGCTAGTTAAACAGAAGCTTGTCAGCCTTTTTTGACCACCTCCCTTCCTCACTGCCCCCACGGCCACACCCACACCCACACCCACACCCACAACGTACCTTGTCTCCTTACATTCAACTCCAGCTCCATCCAGGGGACACTTGTTCATCTCACATGGTTCTTTTCAAATGCCGAGACCTTCCCTAATCCCCTCCCTCTTGGATGTGACCTCTTTTTTTGTTCCCACGTTCCCACGTTAAAGCCATTCATTTCTCTCCGGGTACTTTTCATTTTTCACATTCTGCATCCTACCATGGCCATTTCTGTGCTCGTCTTTACTGTCTCAATTAAGTCTCTTGAAAACGGGTCCTGATTCTTGGTATTCCCTACAAAAGAAGACGTGATGTTTGACATCTTCCAGGCCCCAAGTAAATATTTGTTGAATTCAATACAATTCAGAATGAGTTTGTATGCCTTAATCACATACTAGTTTGCACTAGCATTTTTTAAACAGCAACATTCATCGTTTCCCCATCTTCTTGGAAAACCTATGATCCAAACTGTGTTTTGATTACCATTCAATTATCACATGAATGAAGGACGACACTCGCCAAACACGATGTTGACAAAACGAAAAAAATACAAAAATATTATTTGGAAACCTGAGCAGCCTTTAAGTCTTTCACTTTTGCCTTTCTTCTATGAAGAGGCATCTTTAATCTTGCTATTGAGGGGTCCCGTGTATTCAGAAAAAAGCACATCAAAGATCTGAAAGATACATTATAAAAGCTGTGCAGTTATCTTCACCTCTGAGACTTCCATCCTCCAAACAAATCATTAGCTCAGAGAGCAGGCAATATTCTTTTAAGCAGAGGAACAGGACCCCCTAAGGGAATAAAGCAGCGAGAGCACTCGGGTCTCCAGATGAAATGGAACAGCGACTCACCAGCAATCATCTCTCATCTTTACACCTTTCTGAGGGAACACAGCAAATACAGACACCTTCATCCTGCTCGAATACCCTTAGATAGGGTGGGAATGGCTTCGTATCTCTCCTTTCCTTAACGATATTACAGTAGATCCTCCTCCCAAATTTAGGAATTTAGAAGAAACTCAAATTTATTGCAGCTCAATAAAATTATTCAAGCCTGAAGACATTGAAATTGGTTGGTTCTAGAAGACTTAAGGGCCTAAAGATTTCTGCTAATTTATCCAGAATATAGTTTGCTTCCCTTACTAGAACTATTGTCTCTACGATCAAGAAAAAACAATTATTTTTTTTTCTGAATGAAAGGTTAATTTGTCTTTCTTTTTGAGGATCACACACTCAGAAGTGAAATAGCAACACAGAAGCAGAAACTTTCCTTATCCCACTTAACAACGTTGCTAAACTAGAAATGTATTCTAGTCATGTGAGTGCCAACTTGTTAACCACTTCATTGATAATAGCTATAGCAATAACAGGATTTTTAAAGCATTTACGTTTATAAAGCAAAAATTACAGAACTTTATTTTTCTCAATAGAGAACTTTACATTCTTTTGTCTGTTAACTGTTTCTTCCTTTTGCTCCCTCCTCCCCACTCCTTACGGTCTCTGGTAATATGATTTTAATCCACTTTCTTTTGCAACCAAATGTTAATTACCTCAGAGAAATAACATGCAACTCCTAAGTATAGAAATAGATGAAAACACTGACCAGTCAGTCAGTAAACACATTTACTGTTTTCTATAAAATGGCATGTAAAAATTTCCTTGAGTGGCAAAGTATCTCCCCAGTTTTATGAATTATTTAGTAGTCTTAAAGAAAAACAATCAAGATCATGACTTTGTCTCACAGTCCTTGGCTTACGTTGGCTTATTGTTGGGCCCTGAGTTTCGTGTCAAGCCATGTTTTCCCACCCTGTTTCTTGCTTGTATTTTTCATTCATAACATAAACCCTTCTAAAGAATGGGGGGAAAAAACATACTCGTGTTTCTAACATGATCATCTACTCCTGGGGCCATCAGGTGGCATGGTGGTTAAGGGCACTGGGCTTCCACATGGTTAACCACAGTTCAAGTCTCAGAGCTGGTGGCTTGCTTTCTCACTTTCTCACTC